CCCTGCAGGGGAGTGGCACTCACCCTGTGCCACCTCCAGGGCTCTGGGAAGGACTTTATCCCTCCTGGAGGGGCTCCAAGCACCCTTGGGACTCACCCTCTCTCTCCTGCACCCCGCAGAAGCTTCCCCCGAAGCCCAGGCACGGCACTGGGAGCAGCTGGATGCCTTGGGGTGGTCCTGCTGCTCAGGGAGAGCCCACCAAAGGTGCAAAGCCAGCCCGTGATACCTGAGAAAGTGCCGTTTTAACGGGATAACACCTTTCCCCCGCAGCTCCCGGTGGCTCCAGCAGCAGGAATAAAGCCCAGCACAATAGAACAGTCTTTAGCTGGGAGGCAGCCGGGGCTCCCGCCCTTCATTTCGGCTCCAGAAGACAAGGATCCCATTAACGGGAGCTCCCGGTTCCCAGCCCGGGGCAGTTAAACACAACCCCGGCCCTTTCCTGACACTTCCGAGCACGGGAGGGAAATGCCGGGGCTGGAACTGGAGGAGAACCCCCCTCCCTGCTCCCAGCTGACCTGAGCAGCCACCTTGGGTGGCCTGGGAATGCCTCCTGGCTCCAGGGCTGGCCTCCAGCACCAGGATCCCACCAGGGATGCTGAGGCCACTGAGGCTCTCCTGTGCCCTCAGGGGTGGGGACACAGCTTTCCCACTGAAATCCTGCCCCCGATGGAAAATCTCCAATGGCTCAGCAGCTTCTGATTTCCCCAGTGGGGTCTGTCCTGCCTGGGATGGTGATTGGGGGGTGATCTCTCCCTGTCCTTATCCCAGTCCATGAGCTTTTCCTTATTATTTTTTCCCCTTGTGGTTGAGAGGAGGAGCTCATCCTGGGATGAGCTTCAAGGTCCCTTCCAACCCAAAGCCCTCTAGGATTATGAAAGCCCAGCTCACAGTGCTCCAGCTGCTCATTCCCAATCCATCAGCGCCACTTGTCATTCCTGCCCCTTCCTGCACTCCAGGCACTGCTGCTGACCCAGGACCTACCTCGGGTTCCCTCCATCTCCAGCTTTGGAACGTGCATTGGAAGCTGTGCCCAGATTTTGTTTGAACTGGACTGGAAAACTTCCCTTCTCCCTCTCCAGGTTGGAGCCAGACCGGTTTGGAACCTCCTGCACCTTCTCATCCAAACAGCTTCCCCTTCCCAGCCGTGGATCCCCAGCTCCTCCCAAGCACTGCCCACCCTCGGGCTCCAAAGAGCGTCCCAAAAAGCAGAGGAACCTGAAAGCAGAGAAGAAATGAAGCAGCCCCTGCCTCCAGCCTGATCCAGGGAAAGCTCTGGGAGCCAGAGAGTGATCCCTGTGGTCAGGCTGCCAGCCCAGGAACCGGGAGATGCTCCAAGGCTGTCCCGCTCCCCATCCCCTTCCCTGTGCACCGGGGCCAGTTGTCTGGAACAAAAGGGGCTCTGTTCAAATGCACCTTTGAGATCCATGCAAGCCCTGCCAGGGGACATCCCACTCACCTGGAATGGGCTCCTCTGGCCTCCAGGGCATTCTGTGGATGGAACCCTGTGACTCCCATGTCCCTGAGATCCACCAAAAATTGGGATTTTTCAGAGAAAAATGGAACTTTTATGAGAACGAGATTTTTTTGGGAAGAAAGTAGGGGTTTTCTGGGAGTTAAATGAAGATTTTTTGGGAGAGAAGTGGTTTTTTGGGTGTAAAATGTTTTTTTTTGGGGGGGGAATGGGGGGCTGGGGAAAAAAATAGGCTTTTTGTGGGAAGGAAACTAGGATTTTTTTCTGATGGGTGGAAAATGAGGATTTTGGGAGGGAGAAATTGGGATTTTTTTGGGGGGGAAATGGGGTTTTCAGGGAGGGAAAGGCCAAGAACCCCCAGGGACACGAGCAGGGACAGGAGGAGCAGGAGGAGGGTGAACATTTCATGGAATAGCTGAGGGAAAGGAAAAGTCAGGATTTCAATCCTGTTTAACCCAGGGCAGAGCTGAGATCTCTGGAGAACACCCAGAACGTCCTGGGGCTGCTCCAGCTGGATTCTGTGGATGCAGGAGGGACGTGGGAGGGGAGCCAAGGGGTGACAAAGGGTGACAAAGCCAAAAGGGGGACAGGGGACAAATCTCCCCGTGCCCTTCAAGGGTGGATTTTAACACTGGGGAGCTCTGAGGGGCTTGTGGGGACAAACACCACCTGAGCAATCCAGGAGTTTTCAATCCAGGCATTTAAAGGGAAAAGGGACCCCAGGAGCTTTCACCACGGGTCCTGGGGGACATCCTGACCCCCTTTTCCTTTGGGGATGCAGTTCCAGGAATCAGAAAACCGGAGTGGCAAACACAAAGGGTTCTGCCAACACACCCAAGTGCCATGGGCTGGTGAGAGAGAACAAAACACCTCTCCTCTTCCTCCCCAGCTCCCCTCATTCCTCTCCCAAACCCCCCACCCTTCCCAGTGTCTGCACCTGACCTGCTGAATCCTCTGCTGGTGCTGAGGATCCATTTGGTGGGTCCAGACAGCAGAGAAAGAAACCAAGAAAAAAAAAAAAAAACCCACCCAAAAAACCATCCCCCCAAAAAACCTCCATAGAAACATCAAGCAGTGAGGAAAAATAAGGTCACTGGCACTTCATCCATGATCCAAGCAACTAAAAACCCTGGGAACAGCCTTGCAGGGGACCAAAGCCCTGCACCCAGTTGTGTCCACACGGCTGCTCTTTGCTGGTTTAGGAGTGACCAAAGCTGGAGTCTCCTGGGCAGAACACCCAAACACTCCTGACACCTGCAGCTTGCTGAAAAAAAGCATCCCTGGAGTTATTCCCGCAGGCAAAGTCACCAGGACACCCACAGGGGAGGAAACAGGTGCTTAAATTAATCCTTTCCAAAGGAACATACGCCATAAAAATGGAATTAACACCCGTGCAGATAAAACACTCCAGCTCCCTGACAGGGGGATGCTCCAACTGCGCTTTCACTTGGTCCTCATCAGATTCCTGATAGCTCTGAGGAGAATTCAGGAACCTTCTGACATTACTGAATCCCCACTTATCCTGTACCTCGTGGAGACAAGGAGAAGGAGATGTTGGGAGAAGTGGCCACAGAGGGAAAGAGGGCTCTGAAAACCTGGGAATGAGAAACAGCGGCTCCCATTTAAACAAACAAGTTATTTTAATAGCTCTGCAACTTGAACATTCAAGTGAATAACATTTTAACCTGCAGAATAACATCTAAAAATCAATGCAATAACATTTTTTAACACAATTTTAGGGTTCCAGTCCCTAAACCTTTTAAATCTGAACAAGGCATATCTGCTATTTGGGATTTGGGGGTGGATTTTTTTTTTTTTTTGGTAGGAATGTCCGTGAGTCCCAAGGCTTTTTTTTTTTTTTTTAAAGTCTTCTCTTTTCCCTCTCCTTCACTTTCTTGCAGCCTGGTTTATGCTGAGAACCATCCTCTGGATTTTTTCATCATTCCTTAAGATATTGGCTTTGACAGCACGAATCTTGTCCTGCTGGTCGTTCATCAGCTGGTCCAGCTCGGCCAGCTCAGCCTTCAGAGGTTCCAAAACACTGTCTGTGATGCTGAAAGACAACAGCAGGGTGTTGTGGGGAACTCTGAGCAGCCTCAGGTTATTTAATCCTCAAAATAAAAGGGCACTGCAACACCTGAAAGGTTTGGGCTGGGAAGGACCTTTAGCCATCCTGTTCCAGCCCTGCCACGGGCAGGGACACCTTTCCCTAGGCCAGGTTGCTCCAAGCCTTGTCCAACCTGGCCTTTAAGTTGTTCCCAACTTTCCTGAGAGAAAGTTTGGCAGAAGAAGCACAAAGGCATGGATAGGGGAGAACACTGTCCAGGAGAGATCCCCACGAGGCAACAGCAACGCTCACGTCTGGGCTCATCTGGAGCAGCTGTGGCTGCCCCTGGATCCCTGGAAGAGTTCAAGGCCAGGATGGGGCTTGGAGCAACCTGGGATGGTAGAAGGTGTCCCTGCCCATGGCAGGGGGTGGGATGGGATGATTAAGGAATGCCCCCTGAGTTCAGCCCAGCCCCCCTGAGCACACACTGACCTCTGCTCTCTCCTCAGGGCCTCCTCGTGCTGCCTGTTCTCCTGCCTCCACATCTCCAGCTCGTTCTTCATGGCATCCATGTCCTCCTGGATGTAATCCACGATCCTGCCAAGGGCTAAGGTGTTCTGGCACAGGGTCTGGATGGAGGCCTGAGGCTTCCGGATTTCTTTGGCTACCAAGTCCCTCTCTCTCTTCCTGGATCCTTCCGAAACAACCGGCTTCTCCTGAGGGAAAGGACAGACAAGGAATCCATCAAAATTAGGGGAAAATGAAGAGTGTTTGAAGGAGGTGGAACAAGTGCTTATGACAGGATGAAGTGGAAGAGAAAAACCCTGGAATCACAGAGTGGTTTCAGCTGGGATGCTCATGGGCAGGGACACCTCCCACTGTCCCAGCTTGCTCCAAGCCCTGTCCAGCCTGGCCTTGGACACTCCCAGGGATCCAGGGGCAGCCACAGCTTCTCTGGGCAGGCCTGGAAAGCAGCAGCAAGTTTTGGGAGCTCCAGCAGATGCTGGAGGGCAAAGCCTCCTCCTGGTTCTCTAAACCCCTTCTCTCCCTCCACTGTTCCACACCTGGATTTCCAGCTCCTAATGCTGGTCCCAGTAACAGCCCTGCCCAGCTCCTATACCTGGTGGTGATTCCCTGCCTTGCCCTCCTGCTAAGGGCTGGAAAACCGTGCAGGCTGCAGGTGTGGCCTCAAAAAACTCCCAAAGAATTCCTACTGCCTCCCTCCTGTGCAGCCAGCAGAGTCCCTGCGGGGCAGCTCCTGAGGCCTCTTAGGTTGCTGCAAGTTAAACAGGAATTTCCTACAGTGGGAAAGCCAGGAAGAGCAAAGGGACGCCATAAAAAGAGCAAAGTGATGCCACATTGTTAATTCACTGGAATAAGATTATTCCAGGAAAACCACCACCGTGAAGGAAAAGCCCACTGGGTTTTTTCATCCCCACCAAGAAAAAACAACCTGGTTTTTCTTTCTTTCCAACACTCCCACAGGTCAAATTCCCAAACCCAGCCCCAAGGAGCTGGAAGTGCAGCTATTTAAAGCTATTTAAGGTGTGCCAGAAAACTGGAGGGGCCCTTTTCTCTCCCCCCACAACCGCAGGGTGAACCGATTCCTGGGCACAGGTCCTGGCTGCTGGGGAAGCAGGGAGGTGGCACAGGGCTCCTCCCTGGTGCTGGGACACGGAATCCATCCCCTTCCCAACCTGGCCTGGCTTCCTGTGTGAGCCAGGGGCTGTTTGCTCAGCTGGCTTTTGGAGGCAGCAGCAGCTCCTGCCAAACTCAGAGGCTTTAGGGGGAGAGAGAGAGAGACGGAGTTTAGAAAAGCACTTTGGGGGAGATTCAAAGGCTGGGCTTGCCTTAGGTTGGGCTCGTGCTTTGCCACACACGTGGTGCAGAAGCACAGTGGGATCTGGGAGTTTACTGGGAGTTTATGCTGCAGTTGTTTCATCGGGAACAGGGCCGGGGTGACAAACGCGCCGAACTCGTGACCCTCGCTTCCGAAGGGGCTCCGGGAGCTGCTAAAAACAACACTCCCTCAACTCCCTCCCTCCCAGCAGCAGGTGTTTCATTACACCCAGCACATAAACCACGGCATTCCGTGTCTTCTGGAGCCATCCACGTGTTTGTTATCCTGTAGGATGCAGGGATGAAAGCGCTGTGCTCCCCCCGGGCTCCAGAGCCCTTCCCTCCCCATCCTAACTCCTTCCACAGGGAAGGCTTTTGATCCCTGGCACTGGGCTTTCCACAGGGAGCTGGGAGCTTTAAAGACAACCAGCACAGCTGGATCAGAGCCAGCAGCTTCCCAGGATAAAGTCCCTTGTTCTTCCCCAGTGCTCCAAACCCTCCCCACCCTCCGTTCTCCAAAGCCTCGGCCAAGAAATAAGGAATTCATTCCCAACACAACCCTGGCAGAGGGGAGAGGACTCAGCCAGCCCATTACCTGAGAGTTGGTGTCTGAAAACCCAGGGAATGCTTCCTTTTTACTTTCCAAATGCCCAGTTTGGGAATGTTTCCCCAGGGCATTCTCCTGGAAAAGCTGGCAGCCAGGACTGTGTGCTTTAGGTACAGGATACATCTAGATATAGATCTGTAAATGCACAGACCTCTAAAACAGAGCCAGCCAACAATTTGTAATATTCCCCCCCCCCCCCCCCAAAAAAAAATACAGGGCTGCCTGAAGAGCTGAAGTGGCAATAAAACACCGTGGAATGTTTGGGATGAATCAGGAAAGCACCCTTAAAGTTACACCAGCAAATGTTCCACACTAATTCTAGTGTCCCTGGAATTCCAGCAGGGTCTCTGTGCAGCTGAATTCCTCAAAACTGACATAGAAAGGGCAAAATATGGTCCCCTCCCAAGCCAGCCACAGAATCCCAGGATCATTAAGGTTGGAAAAGACTTTTTAAGGTCACCAGCCACCCTCTCTCCATTTAATTAACATTGCCAAGATCACAGAGTGGTTTATTTTGGAAGGGACCTTAAAGAACATCCAGTTCCATCCAGGGACACCTTCCACCAGACCAGGTTGCTCCAGGCTGTCCTTGAACACTTCCAGGGATGGAGCAGCCCCAATTCCACATGTCCTGCAGCCCAGGAGTGATCAGCACCAATCCCTCAGGCTTTTCACTAATTGTAAGTAATTAAGAGGGACACAAATTCATTACTGTGTCCCCCCAGCTCTCCAGTTCCAGTTTTGGGTTGAAATCCACGTGGGACACACTTGGAAATCCCCGGGAATCCTGGCAGGTGGCTCATTACAGGCAAGGTGGGTGGTTTGCTCCCTCTGCACGAAGGTGGAACTGGATATCTCCAGGAGAATGCCAGGATCTGCATTAGCCCAGGCTCTTTCATTAGGCTCTGCACCTCAACCAGCTCTCCCTTCCACACCACGACCCATAAATTATCCCCACAGAAAAGGAGGCCCCACACCACCCCCCCCTTCCCTTCGTGCTTTCCAGGAGGCACCAAGATCAACGTTTAGTTTGGATTCCCGGAAAAAGGCGCCTTTCCCATCACCAGAGCAGGAATTTTCTTTTTTTTTCTCCATCAGTGAGGGGGGGAAATTACCAACAAGGATATCCAGAAACCACCAGAATTTCTAGGAGCAGCCTTTCCTTACTTTTACAGCCACTCCTTTGTTCCCCCCCCTTTTTTTTTTTTTTTAAATTAACAGCTTTTTAAATATGCATCAAACTAATCCAAACATCCATCAAGCACTTAATGGTTTCTACAGCCCCTTTTAACTCTATTAGTGTGCCCCACTATGAAAACAGGCCCAAGCAATCAGAGTTTTATGGAGCTCCCCCATCTCCCCCCATGTCTGTCCAGGGCAGAAACTTCACTTTGGACAAGTAATTTCGATCCATTCCCTGCAAAACCAACAAGGTGGGAGCTTTTTTTTTTTTTTTCTCTCTCCTGTGTAAAATATGTTTTTCCATCATAAAGGCTGTTTTCTTTTCCTGCTTTTTACAGGGGCTGCATTTTAAGGAGACTGGAACTATCCACAAGGGAGCCCCCCAGGAGGAACTCTTTCCCAGGAACAGGGAGGGGGACAGTAAATGTGGACTCAGCTGAAAGGAGCAGGATGCTTTTCCTGCTGGTGCCAGGTATGGAGTTCAGTCCCAGGCCAAGGAGCTGGAGACACAATGTTCTTTCCCCACTGGATGTGCCAGACTCAGTCTGAGCTGGAAGGCACCACAGGACAATAAAAGAAGGCTCTTTCAAGGGGGATTTTTAATTTTTCTTTCTTCCTTTCTTTCTTTGTTTTGTTGGGGTTTTTTTGGTTTTTTTTGTTTTTTTTTTTGAAAGAAAAAATTCCTCTTTGATCCCTCTAAAAAGAGCTGGGCTTTGCACCTGGCCATGGACACCCAGCTCAGCCCCCAGAGCTGCTCTGCTTTCCCTGTGCTGGGGAGAAAAATCGTCCTGTATTTGGGGCACAATTCCACACACTCATGAAATCATGGAATTCCAGGATGGTCTGGCTTGCAAGGGACCTTAAAGCTCATCCCATTCCAGCTCCTGCCGTGGGCAAGGACACCTTCCACCAGCCCAGGGTGCTCCAACCTGGCCTTGGACACTTCCAGGGATCCAGGGGCAGCCACAGCTTCCCTGGGAATCCCAACCCTCCCCACCCTCCCAGCCAACAATTCCTTTCTAATATCCCATCTAACCCTCTGGCAGTGGGAAGCCATTCCCTGTGTCCTGTCCCTCCATCCCTTGTCCCCAGTCCCTCTCCAGCTCTCCTGGAGCCCCTTTAGGCCCTGGCAGGGGCTCTCAGGTCTCCCTGGATCCTTCCCTTCTCCAGGTGAGCCCCCCCAGCTGTCCCAGCCTGGCTCCAGCCCTGTGAATCCAGTCTGACCACACACACCCCCCAGGAGGCAACTCCAGCAGGAATTGATGCCATTAACTGATGGCACCTTGGCTGCCAGTCCTGCCCAGCCTTCCTTTCCTGCTCACCCCACTGGATCTTTCCATCCACAAGTTCCTCCTCTGGGAAAAAAAAACCCACCTTTTTTCCCATTGAAAAAGAACTTGGAATGAACCTGGTCCCTGTGGTAACCAAGCTGGGAGTCCTGGGACACACTCCCCCCTCTCCCAGGGATGGAACCACTGCATTCCCACTTCCCTCCCTCCCTTCTGGTACCACTTCCATCTGCTGCCTCGTTTGGATTTATCCTGGACCCACAGGAGAGAAGCTCCGTGGTTTTTGCGTGCAAAGGAGCCAGGACTCCAGGATTATCCCAAACCCTGGCCCTGTGTTACAACACCACTGCTTGGGGACCACATTATTTCCCCTGGGACACCCCAGGATGGTGTGGTTTGACTGGGAAACCTCTCCCAGGCACCCAAATTCTGGGATATCTCAATCCCAGTTAACACCCCTGTGCTGCAGTCGAGGGATTAGTTTTAAAACCACTGACCTGCCGAGCTTTGAACAACCACAATCAGCAATAATTATATTTCTTCTAGGCCTCCAAGTGCCCAATGTATCCCAGTTTAATTAATGGCATTGCTATTAAATTAATCCCCGGGTGCAAAGCTATCTAATAGCACTTGTTCCTCCCAGCAAACCTCCAAGCTCCTGCTTTTTCCAAAGCCCCCTCGGTGGGGCAAAGGTGGGAATTCTGGGATTTCAAGCTATTTAGTAACCTGCCCCCATTCTTCCCATACCTCAAATAAAAAGAGTGGAATCCAAAAGGGAACATCTCTTCCCTTCCCTGCTTAACACCTCTCACCTGGATCAGGACTCCAGGAAAACTACACCTTTCCTGGATCCCCCTTTCAGGGAAAGGACACCCGCCCCTGGATCCCAAAAACCTCCACGGAGCAGCTGGAAAAGCAGGACCTCCCCTGCAGGAGCAGCCCTGGCTGCTTTGGAAAGGCCATCCCCCCGATATTCCAGGGGCTCAGGGAAGTGGGAAGTCAGCAGGATTTTTCCAGCCCCAGCTGACACAGCTCCGGGCTCAAAAGGTGCCACAAAACCCAAGCAGGGATTGAATGGATGTTTGGAGAGGCTCCAAATGAGCTGGGAACACCCTGGTCGTTGGGGAAGGGACAATTGGCCTTTGCAAACGTTCTGAGGGGTTAAAAGGGCTTTTTTTTTTTTTTTTTTTAGCGTGTTCTCTCAGTCCCAAAGAAAAAAACCATCCAGAAAACGCGGCACAAACAGCAGGGGGAAGCTTCCCGAGCTTGGGAATCCATGGGACTGCGTCAAACCTGTGACCTGAACCGCTGATGCCGCTCCCAAATTTCGGCTGGAGCGATGGTCCAACAGCACCACCTAGCCAGGAATCCAGGAACAGGAACAGCTGGGCTCGTTCTCCGGGGCTCAGCAATAAGCTGAAGCATCCCCAGAGCACAATCAATCCACTTCTAACCCAGCTTTTTCTCCAGGGATCACTTGGCTGGATCCCGCCCCGTTCCTTAGAAATGTGCAGCTCTGGGATCTCTGATCCCAGAGCTGCACATTTCTAAGGAAGGGGGCGGGATCCAGCCAAGTGGATAAAGAGGGGTAATTCCTTTTTACACCCTTTACAACAACAACAAAAAACCCAGCAAACCCCAAAACTAACTCCCCTTTCACAACTACTGATTGTGGGGGGGGAAAAAAAAAAAATCACAGCAAGCAGGATAAGACTCGACAGAGGAAAAGGCTGGCTGGAAATTGGGAAAAAAACCCCCATATTTAAGGCAAAGAAAAAGGTCATGATTTCTATACTGAGTTTCAGAGTTCCTTTAAAGGAATTCCATTCCCACCTTACCCTGTCTGTTGTCTGGGAGGCCTCATAATCCTTCTTGGTTTCCAGGATTCCTTTCACCAGCCCACCTGTCAAAAAACAGGGATATTCCTCAGCCTGGCTCGGCGCCAAACTTGGGTCAAACGTCCAAATCAGACCCAACTGCTCCCACTTCTTTTAATGCAAGCAGCTTTTTAGGGCAAGGTTTTTTTAGTCAGCATTTGAAGTGTTCAGCACTTGCTTTAAACCAAGTTGATTAAATAGAAATATATATTTATAAAATAAAATCTAAATCTATATATTTTTATTTATAAAATCTAAATCTAAACCTAAATCTAGATATTTTTATGAAATCTAAATCTATATATATTTATAAAAACTAAATAAAAACTATCTATAATTATATTTATAAAATCTAAACCTAAATCTACATACCTAAATCTAAATCTACGTCTCTTTAGATTTATATTTATAAAATCTAAATCTATATTAAAAATATATATATACATATATATATAACATACCATGCTTCTGATCCTCAACCAGCTCCACTTCAGGCTCCTGAACAGGCAGGAAGAGAGATTTAGTTGGAAAATTGCTGTACAATTACTGCACTATAAAGTACAATTATTCAAAAATACTCAGCTGGAAGCTGCTAAAGTCAGTCCATTCCAGAATCCCAGAATGGTTGGCCTTGGAAGGACCTTAAAGCTCATCCCACTCCACCCCCTGCCATGGGAAGGGACACCTTTCCCTATCCCAGGTTGCTCCAGCCTGGCCTTGGACACTTCCAGGGATCCAGGGGCAGCCACAGCTTCTCTGGGAATTCCATCCCAGCCCCTCGCCATCCTCCCAGCCAAGAATTCCTTCCCAATATCCCATCTGGCAGTGGGGAGCCATTCCCTGTGTCCTGTCCCTCCATCCCTTGTCCCCAGTCCCTCTCCAGCTCTCCCGGAGCCCCTCCAGGCCCTGCCAGGGGCTCTCAGGTCTCCTCGGAGCCTCCTCTCCACTGAGCTGAACATTCCAAACAAACCAGGGAAGGATGTTCTGGGATCTGCAGCATGCCCACACCTTTATCCCCTGTGGCAGTGGCCCTGCTGCCTCCACCACAAACTGCTCATCATCATCCTCCTCCCCAGCGACCTGCTGGTCCAGGATCACGCTCGGGACGGTTTTGGCGCTGCCGCTCCTGCAGGAGACACGAGGGAAAGGGGAAGCTTTCGGGAGCTCTGCCCAGAGCAGAGCCAAACAAGCAACTCCAACTAAACAAGCGGCCGAAAGCCAAGTGCAACCCCGGGATCAGCGAGGCTGGAAAAGCCCTCCAAGGCCAACCCGCGGGTGATTCCCACCTTCACCCAGAGCCACGGGCGCTGGGGTGACCGCCCACCCAGGGCTGGTGGGGCCCAGCAGGGCTGAGGGACAGCTGCTCCCACCTTGCCCACCTTTCTGGGAGCGGGGGCTCCGAGCTCTCCTGCCGCTTCACCCGGGGAGGGGCCGGCCGGGCGCTGCCGGGGCGGGGGATGCGCCTGCAAGGACAGTGGGACAGGGGTTGGCACAGCACAGCGACCCAGCTCACCTCACCCACACCACCACCCCCCCATGGAACCCACGGAATTCACCCTTCCCAACATCCCAAACCCCCACGGGTTAACAACAGGATGAAGGATTTAAAAACAGAACCCACCTTTGCGGGGGCACCTCGGGAGGGGCTTCCCCGCCCGCGGGTCTGTCGGGAGCCACGTCCTCCACCTCCCTTCCTGCTGGGTAAAGCAACAAGAAATCGGGGGCTTGGCTGGCAAGGAAAGGGCTGATTTCTCCCATGGCAGTATTTGGAGTTTTATATCAGCACCTGGGATACGTGATCACGGAAACGCAGCACGTGCCAAGCTGCTTAAATCAGAAATAAAACCCTGTATGAAATCCTATATATCTTGGGGGGCTGCCAGTTTTTAACCAATTCAAAAGGGGACACTGAAAGATTAAATTTTAAAAAAAAAAAAAATTTAGATTTTTTAACTGAGAGGTTTCTTAATTTTTACATATTGGGAGGTTTTCATATATTAGGAGGGTTTTTTGCATACTGGGAGGGTTTTTTATATATTGGGAGTTTCCCTCAGCTGTGAAAATACAATGGCCTCACTCAGTTTTTTCAGAGGATTCTAGGATTTGAGGATTTCTTCTGCAATCCCCCCCCACTCCCCCCCAGTCCAGATATTTAATTTAATACTGACAAGGAGAAGGAGGAAGGGAGGGGAAAAAAAAAAAACATCCCATCTTGGCATTCCCAAAATGGAAAACTGACCCTGTATTAATGTGGCTGTTCAAGAACTCCCTGGAACAGATTTCAAAACATTTCCAACAGGTTTTTATTTTCAAGTGAGAACCCACAAGGTGTTTATAAACTACCTGGATAAAGTTGCTCAAAGCACTTAAACACAACCCAATCCTGTTTTGTTACAGTTTAAAACTTCTGAAATCCATAAAATAAAGGGGGGGAAAAAAGCATTGGATGCTCCCAAATAAAATGTGGAGCAAAATACAGGAGTAATACTCTAAAAGAGGCAGGAAAAGAAGTTTATTTCAGCTGAAGAAGTTTGTTTCAGCTGAAAAAGTTGATTTCAGCTAACAAACCACGTGTTTGTATCATAGAATCATAGGATGGCTTGGGTTGGAAGGGACCTTAAAGGCCCTGAACCTAAAAAAATTCAGGTTCACTAATGCATTGTTGCTCCACTGCCTCATGAGACAAAGCTGGAAATAAAGAACAGTCAATAAAATGAAGGTTAGATTGGTGATAAAGGCTGGACTTGATGCTCCTGGAGGTGTTTTCCAACCTTATTTGTTCTATGATCCTGAATATTTGGTTCTTTTACCACCTGAGGATCCCAGCTGGATCAGTAATGAACCTCTCGGGTACTCACTCCCCTTACATCCCTTCAAACTACAGAGGCACACAAACCACAAATAAATCAAACATGCACAAATATTCCAGCACAGACACATTCCAATGGACAGGGCAGCTCCAGCAGATGCCAAGGAATCCGTGGGGAAGCTCTCCCAGCCGTGGAAGGTCCCAAAAACATCCTGGCCATCCTTCTCTGCTTCCTCAGACTGGCACAGGAGGGCTGGGAAACAGCCTTTGCTCTCCCACATCCCACATCCCACATTCCTGGGATCAACTTTCCCAACTAATCAAGCATCTGGAGCCGGAGAAAACAAAAATGCAGCTTTTTTTTTTTTTCCTTCAACCTCAGCTCTCCCTCCTACATGTTGCTTCTCCAGGGCCCCAAGGAGCTGGACACAAATATCCATGTCTTTGGGAGCTAGGATCAGCTTGGAGGGGGGGGGGAAAGGGAGGGATCAGAATGCAGAGGTGGAATTGTCCTCTGGAATCCTGTAAAATGCAAACACTGAGGCTCCCAAACCTGTCCAAAAAGGCCACGTGCAGTGATTGAGTTCCTACAGAGGGACCTATTGAGGTGCAGCATTTTCCTTGGGACGCTGCCTCCTGGAAAGCTTGCCAAAGGACAGGGAAAAGAAAACAAAAGCCATTGTTTTATGAAGGAATGCACATTTTTCAACCCAGCTGTGAGTAAAGCACGAGGCAGAGGTTGGATTAAGTGTAAAGCCCCCTCCTTTAATCATTTACCTGCAGGGGTTTGATGATCCCAAAGCCCCCAGGTCAGACATTCCACGGCAGTGGGATTCCAGCTTTCCCTACCTTTGGGTTTCCCTGCGGGTGCTGCCTCAGTTCTCTGCTGTGGATCAGCAGCTCCATCCTGTGCAGTCCCACTCCTGGTGTCCACAGCTCCTGGAACAAACCATGGATGGCCAAAGGGAACCAAAGAGCCAGGGAAAAAAACTCCAAAGGAAAGGCCAGGCTAAACGCCTGACAGTATTCTTTAAGGGCGACCCCACTTTGATAAACCCTCCTGAGTGGAAATAATTCACATCCCAAGGGCACAAAGGCTCTTCCAGGGGAGTGCTGAGGGAACTCCTGACGCTCCCCCAAATTACTGGCAACTCCTTCAGTTCAAAAGCAATTTACAGATATTATTTATTAGCCTGGTCAAACAATACAATAATAAGAGCATTTGACCTCATAATTATCCCTGATTAATTCCCTAAGTTACAAGGATCAAAAGCCAAGGAACACCCAGTGGAAAAAAAGCTGAAATATTCAGTATAAGTCTGATTTTTAACTGGAGAAGAGACATTCCCTCCCAAAGAAAATGTGGGGTTTTGGGAAGGTTCAGCAACACTCAGCTATTTCTATTGACTGGTAATAGTGCCATGGGCACATTAAGTGGATGAAGATCTTCATCAGTCTAAAAAGCAGGAGTTTTTAACCAGAACTGGTGATTTTTCAACGGGCATCAGTAACAGGGGGCAGTTTATCCCCTAAACATAGACATTGAGGTGATTTCTGGACTTCTGGGCTGGAATTAAAACATCACCAACCACTGAAGGAATATTAGAATCCAGCAGGTCACTGAAATAAAAATAGGGGGAGGGGGGAAGGCATTTATTTAAAATTTCTTTGTTTGTTTTCTTAGGTAGAAATGAGGTCTGGGGAGCAGCCAGTTTCATTCCCTGTCCATGCGTTTCTCCAGGCTCTTCCTCTTGGTTTCCCATACAAGGCTTGGATTCCTTTCTCCCTGCTGTGTAAGTACTTGGAATATTCTGCAGATAATCCAGTTCCATATATTAAATATTTCGTAGATTTCAATACAAAAGCTGGGGAAACAACCAATGGAAACGAAGCACCTTGGCAGATAAATAACTGGATTCTTTGGAAAGCCTGTTTAATGTCTCTTAAACTCACTTCAAACCACCTTAAGGTTAAAACCCTCCCTTAAATCCTGCCTGGAGAGACAAAAATGCAGGTGTGAGACGGCTGCTGATGGTTGTCCCAGCTGTCAAACAGTTCCAGGGAACAAGGCCAGAGGTTTCCATCCAAAGGCACTGCAATCCATACCCGGCCCATCTTCCCTGCTCCAACTCCCACCACGAGGTCCCCCCTGGAATATCTGAAGCGTCCCAAGCTCTGGAAATCCCTCGCAAAGCTTTGCCTTGCCTTGATTTCCCCCAGCTGGCTCTTCAACTCAAAGAAAACCCAGGAGGTGGGACACAAATACGGAACGAATATCCCTGGAAATTCCTTTTTGCACTGGCCAAAAGTTCATCCCTGGGAATCCCAGAATCACTGAGGTTGGAAAAGACCTCCAAGATCGTCAGGTCCAACCTCTGGCCTTGCCTGTTTTGGTGTTTTTTTTTTTTGAAAAGTGTTATCTTTTCCTTTATAACCCCAAAAATTCCCAAAGAGCGAAGAGCAAGATTTTCAGATCCTTGAGAAATGACTGAACGGTTCAGAAAAGAAGTGAAGTTTGGATTCCCTGAGTAAATCTAGGAAGGGCAAATATAAGTGAGTGATAAAATGACCAACTTAGAGTCCGTGGCTGTAGGATTTTTATACAGAACAGCACGTTTTGCCTCACAAACCCCTTCCACCTTCCCATCCTAAGCCTTACTAAAGCACTGTGCTTTTACAAATTCTGAATTTACAAGTGTGAAATATGCCAGGAACAGCTGCAGACAAGTCAAAAAGCCCATGCAGAGAGAACACAATAATTACCAAGAGAAGAGAATTAATCCCTGCACGAGAAATGTGAGCAAACTGAACCGAATTTCACTTTTTCTGGACCAAATCCAGGCAGGAAAATTGCCTCCTGCATTCATAAATGCAGGCTGGGAGTATAAACAGAGGCCTGACAATAATAAACAAGGATATTGCAGCATTTCTGCTGTTCCTGTTCCAGCACACTGGATAGAAATAATCATATCCTGCCCATGGTTACCTTCTCCTGTGGGTTTGGAGCGTTGCCTTGATCCTTTGGTTGAAGGTTGCCTCGATGTCCCTGCAGGACTTTCACTCTGGAAAAGAAATCCCAGAAATTTATCCAACTGCAGATCTAAAAATCCTGTCATTACATCTAAAATTTACTCCTCATGCATCGAAATGATTCTCTTCAGAACTGACCCCCCCATATTTTGAGTTTGCTTCCCTCAAAGGCTGCAGGTTTTTTTTTTCCTGGATATATATCCCAGGTCAGATTTCCTAAGTGTAAAAACCAACTTCCAAATGGGAATCAGGAGTATCCAACCCTGTGGAAGTTGTGGAGCATCCATGATGCCACTGCTGCTCTTGGGATCTGATGATCTCCTGAAAGCAGTCAAATGATTCCAACCCCCTCACAACCTGCCAGGAAGTCTCCTAAATTTCCTTCCAAAACAGAAACAAGGAAAAGTGGATTTAGTTGTTTATTTACGTCAGGCAGGGGCCACAAACACCAGCTTTGCAGAGCCCCTGGCAGCAGGTGCAGGGTAAAAACTGACATTTCCTCAAAAAAAACACCCCCAAAACCCCACAATATTTACGATTTGGGGCTTTCCAAAGGGAGGGAGAAGAGGTCATTTCCCCTTTCTTAGGGATTCCCAAGCTTTGAAAAGCAGCCACTGGAGCCACTAAAGGGAAAAACACATTCTGTGGAATCCCTGACGGATGGATGGGTGGATGGATGGGTGGATGGATGGGTGGATGGATGGATGGATGGGTGGGTGGATGGGTGGGTGGATGGGTGGATGGGTGGATGGATGCTTCCCAGTTCTGAGTGATTACGGAGAGGATCCAGCAAACCATCCATTCTGCTGCTCTGGCCTCATTATTAACCTCTGAACAGCTTGAATTTCACTTTAAAACGTGAGAAAACGAGTTTTGCTGATGTTTTAACACTCATTAGATCATTCCCCCCTCCATTGATAGGTAGATAATAATAACTAAGCATAAACAAATAATAAAAAGTAAGAATGAAGCAAGTGAACAGAAACTCAATTCCATCAGCCCTCAAAAATACCTTTTCTTTTTCCCCTGCTGAGATCCCCAGGGCCAGGAGGTGTATCTGCATTTCCACCCCAAATAACAGATGTGCCAGGATCATTTTATGTAAATTAAACGGACACAAGGGGAGATCTTGACTTGCTAAGGCCGATTTCAGTGCTGTGGGTGAGGAGACTTATCAGGAAAACACCCATCAATCACCTCACACAGCGAGGTTCATCTGCACATTCAACACTTTGCAAAGACAGAAAGACTGGGAAAACCCCTCTTTTCGGAGCCTGAGCTGGAATGATGGATTTCCAACCAAAAAAAGGGGGTCATTCCCAGCAGATTTCCATGGAATGATTCTCTCTGCTGGTTTTTTTTCCTTCCACAGTTTGGTTATAAGATCCAAAGAGGCTCCAGCAGAAGGAGAAGTTCATCAAATCTGATTCAAGGGACTGTTTATTTCCAGAGCGCTGTGGTCCGGAGGGCACCAATAAAACTCATTTTCCCAGTGGCCAAAAGGGACAGGATATTAAAAAAAAACCCTTTAGCCAAGAGTTTCAGCAGCCACAGGAAACAGGGAGGAGCCTTTTCCAAGGTGTTTGGCCTCAGGGATAAACTGGGGAGCCTGTCCTGTTCCCCTTCCAGCCCAGGAGCACCAAGTGCTCCGTGACCGCCAGCACCTTCTGTGCAAAGGCAAAGACATCCTGATTATTGAGAAGGTCAAAAAAAGCCATTTTTAATATGATTTTTTTTTTTTTTTTGGTTTTACCCAAGGTGGAATGAGAGCGAACAGAACAACCCCAACCCTGATCCCAAACTGTGGAATTAAAGAGCCAGCCCTGAGGCAGCTTCTGATGGCCACGTGTTGCCCAAATGTCTCTTAATTCCTGCTTGTGCTTGCTTTCTTCTAGCTCCAGAAAATTAGAGATACCCACGGGATGACTATTGCACAACACACAGAGTTGCTTTTCAGGGACAGAAAAATACATTGAAATTAAAAAAAAAAAAAAGTAATAATAAAGTCAAGCTGTCAAAATTTAAGTAGATTTTAAAGCTTGGATAATCAGCAACGAGACAAATTAAGACTTTGCACCAACGCACAGAGAATCTTATTAAGATCCTTAATTTTACAGGAGCAAAGCCAGGGGCTAAACTTTGAAGGCTTTGCTGCACATGTAGAACACGAATTTAAAAAAAAAAAAAAAAAGGTTGAATTGATTTGTTTTTTAAAGGAAACCCAGAGAAAAGCTAAAAAGGTTTAATCTCAATTTTGCCTTCCACAACCTTAAAGATCAGGAACCTTTTGTCCTGCACTGCTTTAAAGGGTGTGTTTGCATCACCCAAAAAAACCCCCCACAATAAACCAGCAGCCTCTGCTCTTACACAAGCAAAGAGAGGCAGGAATGTCCTCTAGATCTCAGGGAATAAAACCCACTTCCAAGCCCTGGAATCCCTCCCAAAAGCACTTCAGAGGGGAAATGAAACTTGACTGCCCCCGTGGATGCTCGTGGTGCCCAAGAGCACGACGAGAGCTCGGGATGAGGCTCCCAATTTCCAGCAGAGCCCCCACCTGCAGGAAGTTTGACTTGGCCAGGAATATTTGCTTGGGGCTTAAAAAAAAAAAAAACCAAAATAAACCAAACCAAAACAAAACAACAAAACCTATTTTATAAGCTCTGCCTCCAAGTGGCAGTAATTTTAAAGGTTTGCTTGGATCGCAGCCAAGGAAGAGCTGTGGATTTGTCACCCAAACTGGTGTTAAAGGCATAAGAATAAAAAAAAACAAACCAACAGCTTCCCAGGGAAGATCCTGAGGAATAAGGAGAACCCCCAGGGCAGGGGGTTGGAAGGAGATGAGCTTTAAGGTCCCTCCCAACCCGAGCCACTCTGGGATTCTGGGGACTTGGAACAAACAAATCTTTCCCCTGGAGCACCCAACACATCAGCACCCAGGAATTAAATGTGGAAAATGGAATAAACTGAGAGCATTTTTAATAAATAAATAACCAACCAACCAACCAACCAGACAAGCATCTGTTCTGTGCTGTTTACAGCCCTAAAAACTTGTTATCTACCTACCTTTCCATCAAAATCTTTCCCAGGAGACTCCCAAATCATTCTAAGGTGCAACACTGTCAATATTCCTGCATTTCCCACTACTGACCTCATTATCTGGCTGGCACTTGCTGTCTTTAGTTGGCCTCTGTGCTTTCCTAAGTGTGGATTCCTCAGGATCTGTGGGCTGCAAAAGGAACGAGCTGGTTTAGATTCCAGGGGCTGAGATTTACCAAAATTAAGCTCCCTCCTAACACAGAAGTATCTTTGATGCCCATTAATCCTAAATTTCTGCCATGAAGAGAACAGAAGAGGAGAACAGGAATTATTTAGGGGAGAAAGAGAAGGTAAGAAGAACAACAAAACGAAAGGCAGTGAAGAGATGGCTCTAAAGGAAGTTTAGGATTTATAATCAGGGAATCCCAGAATGGTTTGGGTTGGAAAGGACCTTACAGACCAACCCCTTCCAGCCTTCTGACAGGCTGGGAGAGCTGGGGATGGAGAAAAGAAGACTCCAGGGAGACCTGAGAGTCCCTTGCAGGGCCTAAAGCGGCTCCAGGAGAGCTGGAGAGGGACTGGGGACAAGGGATGGAGGGACAGGACACAGGGAATGGCTTCAAACTGCCAGAGGGCAGGGAGTGATGGGATATTGGGAGGGAATTGTTCCCTGTGAGGGTGGGAAGGGATTGGGATGGGATTCCCAGAGAAGCTGTGGCTGCCCCTGGATCCCTGGAAGTGTCCAAGGCCAGGTTGCAGCAACCTGGGCTGGTGGAAGGTGTTCCTGCCCACGGCAGGGGGTGGGACTGGATGGGGTTGAAGTCACCCCCACAAGAATCCAGATGGGCTTCCCAGCAGTTCTCCCAATTAAAAAGAAAAAAACAAAAGACAAAAAGCCAAGCAGCTTAATCTAAAAAGCCAGAAAAAAAAAATAATACAGAAGTGCAACCCCAGGCTTTGTGTCCTGCTCCCGAATCCACCCCAGAACCTTCCCCTCAGGAGAGGAGCTGCTGCTGCAGGGAGGACTGGATTGCTAAAGGGGCAGAAATACAACCAGAGGGGGTCACTGGAACAACCACAGCAAGGGCAAAGTTCTTCTCTGCACTGACACTGCCCTTACCTTCCTCTCTGCTCTCTCCTTGCCGCGTTCCCAGAGATGCTCCTCGTCCTTCTCCTTGTCCCTGTGTCTGTCCCGGTCTCTTCCTCTCTCTCTGTCCTTCTCTCCTTCCCTGTCCTTGGCCTTCTCTTTGCCTCTTCCTTTCACTCTGTCCTTTTCTCTTTCTCCTTCATGTTTTTTCTCTGCTTCCTGTCCTTTCTCACGTTCCAGATCATTTTCTGCATCCCCTTTTCCTTTGCTTTTTTCTGCTTCTCGTCCTTGCTTGGTCGTTTTTCTGCTCCTTTCCCTTTCTTGTTTTTCTCCTTCCCTCGAGGTCTCACGTTCAGGCTCTTGGTGCCTCTCTTTATTATCCTTCTGCTTCTCACCTTCCTTCTCCCTTTCTCTGCCCTCTCTGGGTTTGCTGTCTCTGCTCGAGCACCTGTCTTTGATTTCAGGGTCTCTCCTGCCCTAAAAACAAAGTCAACACTCCAAATGAATTCCAGAATTCCAGTGTCACTCAGTGACTTTACACAGACAGCAATACAAGTTAGAAAAACCCAACCAAATAAATAATACCCGCAAAAAAAAAAAAAAAAAAGGCAAATTCTACCTCCTTTTCCCTGTGGCTTTTTGGTTCTTCTGGTTTGGACTCCCTGCTTTCTTTCTCTCGAGGTTTGGAGGACGGAGGTTTCCCTTTAGGATCAGCTCTTTCCCCAGCTAAGACCCTTTTCACAGCAGCGTCACTGGAGAGCTGCAAGGAACGGGAAAACAGCAGGGAAATGAGGGAATTCTTTTAGGAAATGTCTCCTTTTTTCCTGACTCTGTGATCAGCATGACCTGGGGGTTGGGGTTTTCTCCTGGGTTTGCTGCTGTTGTTGTTATAAATAAAGGGCTTTTTTTTTTTTTCCTCCTTCACACAATTCATCAGAGAAGAGGCCTCTGAGACCACTGAATTCTTTCCCAGGAGCTCTTTTATATCAAACACCTCCCTTTAAGGTCCTAATTAATGAATTCTTGTCATAATTCCATTAAATGGACCAGAACTAGAGAAACTTATAGTGCTTCTTTTTTTCTTAAAATCACCCAGTGTTGGATCTGCATCCACTCTCAGGCCACTCCACTGTCCCCCAGTACCTGTTCCATCATTTTCCTTCCAGGGAATTTTCCTCCCTGAAGCAGGAATAGCTTTGTGATCACTCCACTGAGGTTGACTCCTGATTCTCTCCTGGTTTGTCAGTGCACATATTTATCAATATTCCCCTTCCCTGACCTCAAGCAATTCATAAGGGATTAACACAGCTAATTAAAACAAAATAATTTCAATTATTAGCAGGTAAAAATAATGCAAAGCAAACTGCCAGGCAGCCTGTAAACACTGCAATACTTCACTGCTAAACAAACACCATTTCTCCACACTCATTAATTCAGGGGGCTCTGAAATATCTTTGTTTTGAAGGGTATTTTTGAAGGGTTTTGAAATACCTTTGTATTTCAAAAATCTCTGTAACACTTTGAGGTAATTTTTCAATTTTTATTTTTAAATTTTAATTTAATTTTAATTTGATTTTATTTAATTTATTATATTTACTATTTGATATTATATTTAATATTATATTTATATTATATTTATTATATATTATAAAAATATAATATAAATAATATAATATAGAAATAAATGTAGAATACATATGTTATATTTAATATTATATTTAATTTTTTTATTTAATTTTAAATTTAATTTATTTTTTTTATTTTAATTTTTTTAAGCATTACTTTTAACCAGGAGTTTATTTTACCAGGAGTAATTCCACGCCAGAATGCAATAATTCAGTGTAAGAGCTGCCCCTGCAGTTGTTTTCAACCACTTATCAAACATTCCCTTTGCTGCATTTCCATATTCAAAAAAGGTTCGATGGAAAGATGACTTTTGTTCCAGAATTAACTGGGAAGAACAAGGCAAGGGGAGCTGCTGGGTCACCCATAAAGCCCAACCAAACTGCTCCGATGCCACGGGGTGCACAGGGAGTGGGGTCCCACCTTGTTCAAACAACACTTCCCAATGGCCTGCAGGAACTCGTTGGTTTTCTCTGGCTCGTGCCCAGCCACGACACGCACCGGCTTCACTGCCAGCGGCTCCCCCGTCACCAGCACCACCACGTCGATGGCCTTCTGAAGGAAGTTGATTTTGGAGTCTTTATCCTGCCAAAAGAGCAGAGTCAGAGGTGTTTTTATTTTTGGGGTTCAGAACTGCGCTCCACAACCTGCCCCGAGGTCCCTTGGGCGGAGCTTACGTCGTGGAAAAGCAGAAGGAAAAAATAAACAGCAAATAAAGAAATTAAAACTTTATTGGAGGGTTTCTGGCCCAGAGAATGAAATCCTGGCGTGAAGGAGAAAATCCAGCAGGGAGAAAATAGGGGTTTGTTAATAAAATGTAACAAAATCTTCCCTCCATTCAGAAATGAAAAGGAAGGGGAAGAAATTCTGCAGCCTCCTATTAAATAGTTGTCCATCCTTCCTGAAATCCAATAATTTGTGGGAGGAGACAGGACATTATTCTAAACCAAACGTGTTTTCAAACAAAGACCCAAACTCTCCTCCTCCATCCTCATCATTTCCAGGAGTTATCTGAGTATTCTGTCTGTACGAAATCCTCATGGACCATACAGATTTTTTACATTTATATATATATACACAAAATATTTATATATATGTATATATACACACAAAATACTTATATATATATGCAAAATATTTATATTTATAAAATTATGTAAACAGATTATATAAAAAGTTATATAAAAGATGGTGTAAAAAAAATGACAAGATCAAGCCTGACATCCAATATTTGCATTTATAAGATAACATTTTACTAGACCTTAAAAGATGAACCTCCCTGATAACCACAGAGTGCCACCCAGTGCAGCTGGTGCAGGAGGTGTATTTCTTCCAGACAAATCCCAACAACTAAGGAATCCAACTGATTTCAACCCTCCTGCTGATAACTCAGCTAAAAATGACTCTCCTGGTCTGCCCCTCCAACAGAAATCCCAGCAGGGGAGCAGCCAAGTGCTCCTCCTGAGCAGTGGGTTTGGGATGGGGAACACAACCTGGACACATCTTCCCCCACGCTCCAGGACTGGGATCTCCTCTGCAAAACCACCTCATGGACTGGGGAAAGAAATTCTCAGGGAGGTGCAACTTCCCTTCTGGCACAGGAAACACGAAGACTTACCCAGGGGCAGCTGGGAAATGGATGAACAAGGACAGCACCAGCAAAAAAAGAACAATCCGCTTACAAATAACTTTTAGTTCTCCTGACAGCTCTAAGAACAGCCACAGAAATAGATGCACACGTTAGAGCAGTAACTGCCTGCAACAAGTGCCTCAAACATGCAAGAAGTGGCTGGAGGGAGGAGAAATTGGGCTCCCAGACCTGGTATTTCAGTTGCTACATTAAACAAAAACCAAAGACAGATCCCTGGTGCAGAACACGGAAAAGGCCAAAAGAACCTCGTGGCAGCCTTCAAAGAAGAGATATTTTAAAGCTAAGGAAGTTAGGAAGTCTCAGACCCACCTTAACATTGTCTGACTTCAACTCAAAATCGGTGTAAAGTCCTTTCAGGAAACCTGTCACCCTGATTACCTAAAAAACAGGAGAGAAGGAGCAGGTTAAGAACACTTCAAGCAATAAATTAGTAAGTAACAAACAGTAATACAGCTCCTGGGGAGGGCTTTCCCAACCTCAGTCATTCTGGGATTCTGGGACTAAATTTCCACCCATCCGCTGTTATGAACTGCACAACAGAAATGTCTGGTCACCGTTTAAAGAACAATAATAACGACACAGAGAGAGCACAGGATCTTCAGCAGAGATGGAGCCTGGTCCCCACACAAACATGTTCTGAATGTTATTGATTTTTTCCTGTATCGTTCATTTTTCACGTCATTCACCGGCCGTTTAATACCACTTATTAGATCTGAAGCTTCAGGACGTTTAAAACTTTGGGATGCGGACACGCTGATCACACGACCAGATGCTCTCGCTTTTATCTCCAGGGAAATTTCCCCCTCCAGCTCCTGCCCAACAGCCAAGGGCGTGTCAGTGATCCCAGAGCTGCCCGTTTCCAAGGCATGGGGTGCGATCCAGCAAGGTGGATAAAGAGGGGTAATTCCTAGTGGATTTACGGGCGGGAACCTAAAGGCGTTTTCCTGGGTTTTGGAAGGATTTGGTTTCTCCGTTCACAGAATCATCACAGCCGGGTTTGGGCTGGGACGGACCTTAAAGCTCATCCCACTCACGGGCGGGGACACCTCCCGCTATCCCAGGCTGCTCCCACCCGGCCTTGGGGGCACTTCCAAGGATGGAGCAGCCACAGCATCCCCGGGGAATCCCATCCCCACCTTCCCAATATTCCTTCCCGATATCCCACCCAACCCTGCCCTCTGCCAGCGAGAATCCCTTTTCCCCATCGCCCCGCGTTTCCCCCAACCCCTCGGCCCAGGGCAGTGCCCGAGGGTGTCCCAGGGGTGCCGTGTCCCCCCGGGGGTCGCGCCGTGTCCCACCTCGGCGATGAGGTCGTGCAGGTATCGGAAGGGGGGCTTGTTGAGCAGCGCGTCCGTGAGCGGCGGCTTGCGGATCACCTGCCCCAGGCTCTCCCGCGTCCGCCGCGCCACCGCCTCGTTCATGGCGGCGGCCCCGCGGCCCGGCGCTCAGCCGGGGCTCATCCCAAGGGGATCCGGCCGGGAGCGAGCAGGGAGGGATTCCAGCCGGGATCGCCCCGGCAATCCAGCCGGGATCGCCCCGGCAATCCAGCCGGGATCGCCCCGGCAATCCAGCCGGGATCGGCCGCGCTCCCGGCGTGCCCCGCGCTGCGCATGCGCGCGGCCCGTTGCTAAGGGCAGCGCGGCCATGGCAACCGCAGCGCCCAGAGGGGGAAAACCCGCCTGGAATGGGCCCCGAACCCGCCCGGGAGAATCAGGGAATAAATAAATAAACGCTACGGCCCGGGGAGGGGGGGATAACAGCGGGGAGAGCGGGGGTTTGCAGGGCGGTGACGGTGTACTTTATCCCTAAAGGGTGTTCCCGCGATCCCGCCGCTGTGAGCCGGCACGGCAAGGACGCGGAGATGCTGGAGCGAAGCCAGGGGAGGCTCCGAGGTGTTCCCCCCTTGGGATGGAATTCCCAAAGGAGCTGGGGCTGCCCCGTCCCTGGAAGCGTCTAAGGCCAGGGTGGACGGGGCTTGGAGCCACCGGGGCTGGTGGAAGGTGTCCCTGCCCTGTCCCTTCCAACCCCGTCCAGGCTGGGATTCTGGGGCTGCTGAGAGCCACAGGACAGCCCAGGCTGGATATTTTCCATAACATCCAAATCAAACCTCCCCTGGCACAGCTTGAGGCCGTTTCCTCTCCCGTCCCTTGTTCCCCCGGGAGCAGAGCCCGACTCCACCTGGATTCACCCTCCTGTCAGGGAGCTGTAGAGAGCATTAAAAATCACCCCTGAGAGACAGGAAAGAGTTTGAAAGTCACTGACTTGGTAACTAGAGTCTGTATTAAGATTAAATTACACAGAAAAAGTTTTAATAAACAAAAATGAAGGATCAGCCCATTTGCTTTCCAGTAAACACCAGACTGTGCTTCTGAAAATGGGGAAAAAAAAACACACTAAAAGAACTTTAACTTGCATCAGAATCCCAATTCTCCAGCTGAACCCAGGTCTCTGCACAGCGCAATCCCAATCCTGAGTTGGGAACACCTCACACAGAGATGGGAATGTTGGCTTAGGAACCGACTGGAACATTAAAGCTAATTAAGACTGTGCCCCCCTCCAGTGTCAAACACCAATTTGTGCCATTCCCAGTGAGACATCCAGAGACAAAGCAACTGAGCATCTAGAAATGACATTTTATTTTGTGAAGAACACTTGAAAAATAAAGATGAAAAGCTTTTCCAGGCTTTGCAATATAACCATCATAACCCATGGAATTACAAAGACTCCGTTTTCCAAAGGGGTTCCCTTTCCCTAACCCCCCTCCCCAGTTTTCCCACAAACTCTTATCCTGTGGAACGACCCACGAGAGTTTTAAGGAAAAAAACCGAAAGATACGCATTTTTGAGCCAATATTAAAAATAATCCAAGATCGGTTCAGTGCAGGTGCTGCTACATCACACTTGAACAAAGGCACGAGATCCCCTCTCGGAATTCACACTTGGATTTCTCCCCGCTCGGTGTTGTCAGGGAGAAAGCAGAGGGAGAAAGCAGAGTTATCAAAGGGGGGAAGGCTGAGCTCAGTCCAGCTCTCCAGCAGCAGCTGGAGGAGCCAAGGGGACAGCAGAGAAGTGCAATGCAGCAGAACCACCTGGAAACACAAACCTTCCCAACCAGCACCTGGATCCCTCCTGGAAACCTGGGCCTCCCAAGAACACTTGATTTGGAAGAAGGCGACAAAATAAGATAGGAAAGCATCAGCTGCCCTCACCTCAGGCAGGATATCTATATCCAGGGAACCAGGATTTCAGGATTCCAGTGGATTCAAGGACATCAAACAGGCCCTTCTGGAGTGGTCGGCCCCAAAAAAGCACAGAAGCTGAACTTTAAAGATATGCACAGAAATAAATAAATACTGATCATGTGCTTTGTGGTGCTTTTCACTTCTTATTCTTTTTTTTTTTTCAGTGTCAGTTTTTATCTCTCAGCTGTCTGAAATGCCAGAATATTCTGAACAGGAAAAAAATCCCACCTCAGGCAAAGTTTTTAGGAGTCTGCTGAACCCGCAGCTCCTGCTACAAAATCTCCTCCCCCATCAAATATTTGCTGCAGTTCCCAAAAGCAACTGGCATTTTGTCCTCTCATCATTATCAGTTAGGGATAATCAGGCTTACTTCTGACCTTAATACTTGAGGACCTTGGACACCCAGAGTCCTGCTGTCAGACAGAGGCTTCACATGAGCCCCGTGACACCAGGGGAAACACCTCGCCAAACGCGACAGAGCGTCAGAACTACTGGAAAGGTGGGAAATGAGGGAAATTCCTCTGAAAAAAAAAGAGCACTGAAGAGAAATACAAGCCCTTTTCCTGAGTCCAGGAAAACCCACTTAACTCCAAACACCGGATCTGGCAATTCTGTCTGACCGTTTTGTCTGTTGATGAAACTTCTGGACAACAAAAAAATCCCAGAAACCGCAAAACTCGATTTAGTGGCAACAACAACAACAACAACAAAAAAAAAGCCCCTAGAAACTTCAAAATGTAAGAGTACCACACTCTCGTTCCAGGTCACAAAAGCCCTCTGGGTTTTACATCTCGACAGCTCCTGAACTTGCCCCTTTTTTCAGCCAGTTCTGTGCCCTTTGTTCAGAGATTTCCTTCATTCCTCCAGTCTGGCTCCAGCTCCTACACACTCGGGTTTATGTAGAGAGAGAAAAGCAAATTCTGGTACTGGCAGTAACTTCAGTGATGAGGGATGGGGAAAAAAAAGAAGAAATTCTCCAGAGGGATGGTTCTGACTGGATTAAACCTCAGTAGTGATGGTGCAACGTGTCAGATCTGCCCCCAAAAACATCCATCCATTCAGGGACAAGAGGAGCCACCAATATTATTGAATGCATCACTCCATTTCCTCCCAGATAAAGTGCATTTACCCAGCCTGAGAGCAGGCACCACGAGGAGAAAGGGACACTAGAGCACTTCCCCAAGAGAGAGCAGAAATAAAAATCAGAGTTATCCCGAATCCTACCCCCAGTGTGGCTCCGGGAATTCTCGAGGATGCCTTGGGAAAGCCCCTCTGGCTGCTCCATGGTGGGAGATGGATACAGTGTGCTGTGGTGAGCAAAGCCCCTCCTGTGCTATCTGAAAACCCCCACGTTGATGGAAAGAGCCACCTCTGGTTTCCGGGGCTTCATGTGCAGCTTCTCCTCTGGGAAAAAGGGATCCTGGGCACTCCTGGCTTGGCGGCTGCAGGAAGAGAACAGGCAGGAAAGGGGGTTAATCCCAGTCCTGAGCTTCAGCACCCACAGCAGATGAGCCTGGACTGATCCCCAGCTTCCAATGAGGTGTAAGAACGAACCACAAGCTCAGCCCGACAAGCAAAGCCAAGGAATTCCCTTTTCCTCATTCCCTCAGGGTTGCAGCAGAAAAAACTGAGGCTCCCTGTAGGAACTTAGAGCCAGCAGTTGGAACGATCCCAGTGCTTCCTGCAGGACCACTGGAACTGTGTGCTCTGAGAGCACCCTGCTACCAGTGGCCCAAAAAACCAGCCAGGTATCAAACTAATTCATGGAATCCCACACTGGCTGGGGTTGGAAGGGACCTGAAAGCCCACCCAGTGCCACCCCCTGCCATGGGCAGGGACACCTTCCACCAGCCCAGGTTGCTCCAAGCCCCGTCCAACCTGGCCTTGGACACTTCCAGGGATCCAGGGGCAGCCACAGCTGCTCTGAAGAGCAGCATAGAACAGTTTTTCTAACGAAAAATAAATGCAAATACTCAGCACCTTTTCTTTTTTTCCAGGGCCAGCTGCCTTTGCTTCTCTTTCCCAATGTCATCTCTCACGGTGCTGAAGTCCTTGGTGTCATCCAGGAGAAGGTTCTGCCGTGGAAAAGGATTTGATATCCATGAAAGTCAGAAGGTCAAACCATTCCCCACCTGTTGCTCTGTTGGCCGCTTTAAACCCCAGCCAGCATGTTCTTCCCTTCTCCTAAATAAGCCTGGTTGCTAACTCAGAGCTCAGTACACTGCTGGGCAAGTCTTGTTTTACAGCTTTAAATAGATCTGTCCATTTTTTGGAATATGTAATGGGTTTATACATCTATAATGAGATTTTTAAAAGGGCACTGTCCTTGGATTTTACTCAGAATTAGAAAAAGGAAACAAACAGAAACCAGTCAATTAAATGAGGGCAAGAAAAAAAGAACCAGGAGGAAAAGGATCAGCAGCAGCAGCACATTTCCCATCCACGTGTCCAAACCCACATCCCAGCACTTCCAGAGATGCTGCAGGAAAACCAGGAAGACTAAATCCCAGATGACTTACCTTCACCCCAATGATGTCTCCATCCCTCAGGTGATAAGGTGCTGACTGCAAACTCTCCTGCTTTTTCCTCCTTTTCCTCTTGGAAATCTGCTGTGTCTGAATAAAAAAAAAATTAAAAAAAAAAAAAAATTAAAAAAAAAATCAAAGCAGAAGATTTTCAGAATTCTCCTGCAATACAATCTCAAAGGAACTGCAGCACAAACCAGCACAGCTGTTGGACTGTGTCACTGCAGATCTTACCCAGCTGGATATTGGCAGCCACTCAAATCTCTCAGGGAAGTACTTGGCTATTTCAATTTTCTCTACAGGGAGACAGTAGTGAGAAGCCACTCTCTGCCTCAGTGCCCAGGCGGTGCATTCCTTGGAGATATCCCACACCAAATCCCTGCAGTCAGAGTAGTCCCTTTCTCCTGGAATTCCCATCTGGACTCGCAGCAGCAGCTCCTGGGGGCTGGCAGCAGGAGGAGAGAACGCACATTCTCGTGAGTCGTGCTTTCAGAATTCCCAGTTCTCACTCCCTCCTGCCTCCCCTCACAAAAAAACCAAGCTCCAGATCTTCCTGAATCCTCCCATTTCTAATCCTGCCAGCACTGGAGTTCAAAGCTGCTCAGTGCAGGCTTCCTCTCAAATGCAGGGCTGGAAGAAATAAAGTGTCTTGAGCTCTTACCCCAAATTCTCTTCTTTTTGCAAAGGCTCCAGGCAGATTCCCACG